AAACCAGCTTGACCAGCCAAGCCAAGCTGGGAGTCCAGCCAAAACCGGCTATATCCATTTAAAACCAGGCTGGTCAAGCTGGTTTTAGTTGGATTTGGCTGGTCATTTTCCAGCCTGACCAGCTAAGACCAGCCTGGAAATGGCCAAAACCCCTCTAAAACCAGCCTGGTCGACCAGCTAAAACCAGCCAACCAGCCTAGGCTGGTTGGCTGGTTTAAGCTGGATTTTTCAGCAGGGAACGGTTTACACTAGCAATTCAGAAGAGGAATTAGAGCTGCTTTTTAACTGTTTATATAACCCCCCTGCACATTTGAAATATTTAACCCAATTTAATATTTTTTAACACTGTTCAAAATGACTCAGGGACCTATCATACACTCGGCGCAATAAGGCGCAATTTGTTGCTATTTTCAGACGAGCGCAACTATAATTTTTATGTTTTGCACCATGTTGTTTAAATAGCAAATGCATTTGTGCCACTTTGTGGACTCATAGGTGTGCCGAGCGAATAAGGCATCGATGAAGGCGCATTGTTATTTTGAGGAACTAAATTAGACTGCGCCACTGACCAACTGAAAGCAGGTCTAAAGTCCAGCGCAGAGCGCTTTAGTTATGCACCTATGCAGGTCCAAAACCCTTACACATTGCTTAATACACACAAGGCGCACAGCAATACACAAATATCTTTACAGATGAAAAAAAAATCAAAGAATTAAAATGTTCCCAAAACTTTTATTTTCTACTTAATATAAAAACCACTACCCCATGCCTTGTGGCGACCTTTTCAGTTTATTCATGACAATTTGCATTTTCATTATAATGTTATTATTATTATTATTATCAGCATCATTTATTATATGCATATTTATATTTGTTTCAATAAAAACAAGTTTAGATTTGTCCACCTGTCAGGTTTTGGAGACGTCTGTGTGACCTTGCGGGCATGGAATGCGTGTTTGGACATAACTCAGTTTTTGATCACACTTTGTTATTATTGGTCATTTATTTGTTTGCAGGAAATTAGAACTGAATTTAGAAATAGTTTTGAAACAAATCTTTGAGCTTAACAAACGAAATGAAGTATGTAGGCTAATGAATGTCTAATGTGGAGTGCGTACATCATCGTTTCCTTATCCACTAAAGGAAAGGAGTAAAGAGTAAAAGTAAAGTAAAGTGAAATGGCCGAATGGAGGAGGCTCATTCTTTGTGCTCGCGCTGCGGATGGTCTGTTTAACTGTTTTCTTGCCAGTGAAGTGTTTAGTTTTTCCACTTACAAACTCCCGCATGTAAATAGCAAATGCGCCATGGAGTGACACAACTGACTCTTAAAGGGAATGGGAGATGAGATTGGTTTGATGCATTTTAATGCATTTTTCTGTCCTTAAAATAGCAAAAGTGGACACGCCCTTAATGTTATTGCGCCCTGTGCCTTAGACTTTGTGCTTACACACTTAAAATAGAGCCAGTGAAGAATGTGTATGTATCTGAATGAGTGTGTGTGTTTGCTCACTTTATCTCCTTTTGGTGCTTTTCCAGGAGAGAGTCCGGGGTCTCCCTTCTTCCCCTGAAAGAACAAACGACAGAAAAGGTTGAGACTTATACTTATAAAGTTAGGGATTAAGACAATGTCATTGGTGTTTGCCCAGGCAAAAGCTAATATGCTGTTACATCATTTAACCCTTTAACTTCTACACACTATGCATTTTCTGAACCAATTTATTTGGTTAAATTCTGTTCCTGACACCATTTTAAGCAAATTTATAAAAAAAAATAATAATAAAAAACTTTAGGTGAAAACCTTTGGAAATGGTCAAACAGATGGTTACAGAATCAGTTAAAGTGTTAAATAATTCTGGGTGGATGGCAGGGCATTGCTATACAAAGTAATCTGTTCTGCATGGATGCCAGGGTGTTACTAAACAACTGCTATTGTGTTTTTTAGTGTAAATGCATAGCTCAGTTGCTTTCTTAAAGGGCACCTATCATGCAAAATTAACTTTTGGAAGCTGTTTGGACAGAAATGTGTGTAGGTATCGGGTGTACAGTCATATTGGAGGGAAATCTTCCTGAATGAAAATGAAAGTGCCAAACTGCAGTTAAAGTCCACAAATTAAGAATTTGGCAAATAATTTGATTACTGATGTCCATGTAAACACAGTCACTGCATTTTTCCTCTGCGTCTGTGTGTTGTTTTGTCTCTATGAAAATCAGCGTGTTTCCAAATTGAAACTCTCATTTTTATGCAAACCCTTCCCTCTTTCCCTTCCCTGACACTCGCTGCGTCCAAAACCGCATACTTCCATACTATATAGTACGGCAAAAACAGTATGCGAGCCGAGTAGTATGTCCGAATTCATAGAATTCGAAAGTCTGTATGCGAGAAGTACCCGGATGACTTACTACTTCCGGCGAGGTTCTGGAGTGCGCATCCCATGCATGCTGCGCTATCCCATGATGCCCCGCGAGCAAATTCATGAATGGGAGAAAAGCAATGCAATTGACACTGGTAGGTCATGTGACCATGACAAAATGGCGGATGTAATATGTCAGAATTCCATTCATACTTTTCACGTTCATACTGTATAGAACGTACTTTTCTAACGGCCGAGTAGTACGTTTAAATTCAAATGCAGTACCTACTGAGTAGTAGGCGGTTTCGGACACAGCCACTACCACCTAAACAATGCTAGATACATCCACTTTCCTGACTTTTTTCAAACTAGAGGTGTGAAAACACTGCTGAGGTGGGGGGGTTTTCGTGGCCCTTTAAAGGCACAGGCGCAAAACAGCTTCAACTCCTTCTGACCCAAAAATTTACATTTTCAACAGGGTATAATCTAATATGATCTGATGGATATTTTTACCTGAAACTTTACAGACACATTCTGAAGACAAAAAAAAGGCTTAGGCCTGATTACACTAATGCGTTTTAGTTTTAAAACAGTGTTTTGGATCAAAAACGATCCGCGTCCACACTAGCGTTTAACCTAGCGTTTCTGAACATATCTCCGTCCACACTACGCCACCAAAAACGTATATCACGTGACCATTCGCGCACTCTGAGCATGCGCGTTCTAGTATAAACAGGAAGCATGTGTCACGCTCAGCATTTGGTTATTGTTAGTCAACAAAAACCGGTTGAACAATGAACGCGATGTCAAAGAAAGCAAGAGAGGTATTTTTGTGGACAGACGATGAGGTCGAGTTATTACTAAACGTAACAAATGAATAACTGCACAATGGCGCCTCAAACAGACAATAGTGCAAACAACGCTCCCATTTCTGTGTCCATGTTGTTGTTTACAGTGAAGGCTGGTCTGCTGTCTTCTGGTAGCATTAAGATCATGTGTTATAGTCATGTGATAGGGGCTTGACAAATAAGGAAAGGATACGCAATGACACGAAAGCCCCAATCAGGTAGCGAATCTCAGCAGCCCCGCCTCCATTTTCAGATGTCTCCGTTTTCCCCCATCCACACTGAGACAGAGCAGCAGCGTTTTAGAATGAAAACGGCCTCTCCAGCATTTCTAAAACGCTCCGTTTTCGGCGCTCGAAAACTCCGGCGTAGTGTGGACGGATGGCGTAACTGTTGCAAAACTTATGCGTTTTCAAACTAAAACGCTTTCGTGTAAACGGGGTCTCAGATCTAGTTAAGGGGATCAAAAAAGTGGCCCCTAAATATGTTTTGCTACTTCCTAATCCACCAGGCCCACTCAACAGCACAGCTCCTGGCAAACAACACTAAAGATGCTAATCAGATCAAAACACGGCTGTTATTTAAACAGCTTGTTTTGAGCTTCATACGTTACAGTAATTAAGGGTTTGTGTGCGCACGTTCATGCACTTGAGTCGCAGACATGCGGGAAGTCTCTAGGCCGTTACACCTTAACTAAGTTTGTCTTCAAAGACGGCCTGGAATAATTAAACACAGAAAAGCACAGACCATGCAATCACACAAACACACACCCTGCTGAGCTGCTCGCCTTGTTTACCACCTTTGTTGCATTTACAGGGATAAAACAGGCAAACCAATCACACACCAGGACATCACACGCACACGCACACACATCTAACCTGGAAAATGTTTAGTTTATAGCCTGTCTTTTTCACACTAAAGCTACACAAGCGCTCTTTTCTATATCATGGGAAAGACTTTCCACAACCTGCTGGGCTTGTTCTAAGTTTAAATAAATCAAAGTGTGTGTATGTGTGTGTGCATGTGTTTCCAAAACCTTGTCCGCGGGGTTTTGCATGCAGCCCAATAGTACCAGCAGGCGGTGCGGTGATGACAATAACAGAAGGTCAAACAGAGGAAGATGAGCAGAGCAGTACATGGGATCAGACTGCAGATAATCTGACAGTGAGTGAGGGTTTTTACCTTCAGTCCTGTAGGACCGGGTCGACCTGGCTTGCCATGTGGTCCAGGAGGTCCCTATAAGAAATGACATAAAAACAACGCACACATTAGAAATTAGAAAATTAGAAATTAACATTAGAAATAAACAATTAAGCAAAGTGGAAAAGCATGTGTTAATTCTCCTACTGCAGTGCAATAGCATTAGCACCCCTTGTGGCAGTGTTGAGAAGACAACTGCATTATAATGCTTGAAAGTAAAGGGGTAGTTCACAGAAAAATGAAAATTTGCTTACACCTAAGTCATCCATCTAATTTCTTTTCGGATTAGTCCCTTTATTATTCAGGGGTCGCCACAGTGGAAGGAACCGCCAACTTATCCATCATATGTTTTACGCAGCGGATGCCCTTCCATCAGCAACCCATCGCAGGGGTTTTCCACTTGCATGGGTTTGAAACCCATGCAAACTCCACACAGAAATGCCAATTGGCCCAGCTGAAGCTCGAACCAGCGACCTTCTTGCTGTGAAGCCACAGCGAAACCCACTCCATCCTCACACTTAAGAGATTAATGCAATTCTTTTCTTGACTAAACATGAAACAAGATATTCGGAAGCATGTCGGATCTGTAGTAGAAACAAAGAATACTAAAAGGAAATGAATGGCAGATTTTTCCAACATTCTTCAGAATATCTTCTTGTATATAACTTCTTTAAAACAAGTGAAGGATGCGCTTTAAGAAATGCTGGAGTATTTCAAGCTAAATTGAGTAAAATGTTGGGATAAAATTGTCCTATTTATTTAACAAAAAAATAAATAAATAACCTGCAGTTGGATTTGTCCCTATTACATCAGGAATTGGGTTGAAATAACCTGCCATTTTTTAACATGAAGTAAATGATGACAGGGTTTTCTTTTTTGTGTGAGCTATCCATTTAAACTACCTGACCCTTTTTTCTATGTTGGCGGTTCATTCTGCTGTGGCGACCCCATATTAATAAAGAGACTAAGCTGAAAAGAAAATGAATGAACCCTTTTTTCTGCTTCTTATGTTGTGTTCACATCAGACAAGGCACGTGCGAATAAATTGCGCTATTTGCACATAAATAGATGCGTGAACATTTTGAGTTTACTCGCTTCATTCAGGAGTCAAATTCACTTCACAATAAACGCAGATTTGCGTCATGGACAGGGCTTCTGTCTGCCCACTGACTCTAGCTTCGTTGCTAAATGGCCAACATGGACTTTATTTGGATAGTAGCTGTGCTTTATGTGCTTTAGGAAGGCTGAAAAACAGCGTAGATTCTTTTGGCACCATGTCTGAGTCCACTAGATCCTTTCAGAAGTGCACTCAGCTCTGTGAGTTAATCAACTCCTGCAGAAACTACACCTGGATGATGGAGGCTTTGAGCAGTGCTTCAGAATGACCCGAGCCCTGTTTAATGAACTGTTGTCCGGTGTCGGCAAGAGGATTTGTCATTGGGTCACCAACAACAGGCACCATGTCAAAATCAATAGTCAATATTTTATGCACATTCAACTTCTTCCTTGTTTACATTCATGCACATCACCAACATGATTCAGATTGATGGGTTTTGATTGCCTTTTTTAATAATCAATAAATTTTAACAATTTAACAGTAGTAGTTTGGTTTAGTTTGCTATTTTCTTGGCCGATACATCTAGGACACTGGTGCCAAACTCAGTTCCTGGAGGACCTGTTGAGTATGCTTTAAGTATTATGAGTTCAGGCCTGTAGCCAGCCTGGTGAAGGGGTGGTTCTGTTTTTCTCAAAAAGTGGACCTTTTTGCAAATATACAGCTCATTTTTTGTTAAATTATGAGACCTGAATACTAAATTTAGGTGACATTTTAAGCACTATTGTTAGCTGGATTAGCTTGTTGGATGATTATTATAACCACACTTTTTGATGAAAAAATATTTCCTAAATATTTAGAATAAAGAAATATGACAAATATTTGTTTTTAAAATAGAAATTAATTACATCATATATAATTATATTAAAAAAACATTTTAGATTAAAAACTGCAGCCTAGTGTGATTTATTAAGCAAATAAAAAACTGGCCAGCACATTCAACATTCCAAATTAAGATTTTCACATTTTTTCTAGCCTCTCTTGTAAAAGTGCTTCACACTTTTTTATTGGTCATGTTTTCTTTTAGAATAGGGTCTAAGATTTATAGAATAAAAGTTTCCTGTAAAATGTTTTCTCTTTTTAAAACCAATACAGTAGCAAAAGATGACTTTGTGTACGTCAGAAGTTTTATAGCACAGCTGGATGTTGAACTCTTGAAAAATAAATGTTTGCATTGGCCAAACCTGATTAGCTGAAGTCACACCAGGATTCTGCTAGATCTTAAAGCCTTTTTTAATGGGATATTGTCACTATATGATGGGATAGCAGTCAAAATAGGACGAATGAGCTCATGTATGGAACCAATTCTGGACCTTTATCAGTGAGGGGTGGGTCTTCGGAACCACCTGAACCCTCCCCCCACCCCCCGGCTATGGGCCTGGAGTAAGCTTTTTGGTCCCACTTTATATTAAGTGTCCCTAACTACTATGTACTTACATCAAAAAATAAATACAATGTACTTACTGTGTTTATAATGTATTTGAGAACACGTGGTGCTTTTGAGTTGGGATAGAGGTTGGTTTATGGACAGGTTTGGTGGCATGGGTAGGTTTAAGGGTGGGTTAAGGTGTAGGGAATGGTCAGCAGTGTATTTACAAATGTAATTACAAAAGTTAATTAAAGATGTAATTACATACATGTATTTAATCAAGCATAAGTACACAGTAAATACATGTATTTACATAATAACTACATCGTAACAAACTATTAATTCCCATGTAAGTACATATTAGTTAAGGCCACTTAATATAAAGTGGGACCAGCCTTTTTTTTAATTCCAGATACAATTTATACTATAGAAGTCAACTCTTCACTCGCTATACTTTTGACCTTTCATGTGACCCTGTCCCTGCTCTGAGAGCACTTCATTTAAATGACTTCCCACCCGTCAAAGGTCAGAGGTCAGAGTGAGGCTCAAGG